GGGGGGCGAATCTACTGCGACACCGGCGGTGGTAAATCACGTGGCAGATTCGTAAAATACGACAAATACCGAGTTTTTCCGACGAGCTGTCACGAGCATTTTCATCATTCATTCGTCCACGGCTTTCCGCTTTCGTCGAGGGGAGGCAAAGAAAATATTGATTGTTCGCCGAAAATTTACGTAAATGAGCGCCTTAGAAGAATAGATCCAGATAGGTAAAGCGCTGTTCTTAATTTACCTTATATTCCGTTTAATATTTGTTGTGATTTTGGAGCCGTTGTGCTCGCACTGAAAATGTTTCAGGCGTTTATTATATATCGAAGGCCACGCTATCAAAATACTCATTTTTTATATGCTCAAATTGAAACGGAGCCTTTGTGCTCGCACTGATTATATTGTGTGCAAAACGTCAAAACTACAGAACATTTTGTAAATATATTCAAAGTATCAAACAAAATTCTCATTTTAGTGAGTATTAAAATACCATTGAAATTTAATACAACGAAATAGCATTCTTCTTCCATATTATTTCAATCATAGTCGAGATTATTTTCAATCTATACTATAGTAATTCACCATTTCCACGAGTTTTTATACCTTCAAAAAGCCACAATAAAGCTAAATTTGAAGGAAATAACATTATCTAGTTATAAATTTGTAAAGGAAATATTGTTAATTAACAGTCAGTCAGTGTTATGATAATTTTGTTTGATATTTTGAACATATGTTACGGGCGGACCATTAGAAATCCCGGGAGGGGGGTATAAAATTTTTGAGGCACGAATTTTTTTTTCAGTCTCGTGTCTCTGCAGGAATTTTTTTTAATGCATTTAACCTCTGCACGAATTTTTTTTCAAGACTATTTCTACTTCGCTGTTTGCTTGCACGAATTTTTTTTCTCTGACGTCTGCACGAATTTTTTTTCCTGCACGAATTTTTTTTTGAAATTTTCACACCCCCCCCCTCCCGGGATTTCTAATGGTCCGCCCCTTATTTAAAGTACTGTAGTTTTGACCTTGACCAGTAGTGACCTTGACCTTGTTACTAAAGATGAACAGTCGCTCATAAAAAAAATAGCCTATTCGCGTGAGAATCTTAAGCTTTCTTATTTTGACATAATAGCTATTTTTCAATAAATATATTGATTTAATTAAACTTATTGAATCAATATTGTAAGTTCCAGGCCAGTTGTACCAAAAGTTATAAGCGCTAGCGTGCACCACATTGAAAATTTGAAGTCTCTAGACCGTCGGAAATGTCATTTTTAGACTCTTTCCTATCCAATATTTCAATATTTTCTGTATTGCCTAATGAAGATAAGTATTGTTACTTACAGTTCAATGTGAGTATGTGACTAGGAAAATTGAGAAATATTTGAAATATGGAGTCGCCAGATGGTATAGAAATCTACATTCGAAAGTTCCATCCATAAAAAAACAACAACCATGGGTTTTTATGGGTATTCATGTTCATAGTAATTTTTTATTTAACGAGAGAATTAACGATTAGACCAAAAAAATGCACATGTTCACGACCAGAAGAAAGCAGGATATGCGTTCCAGAAAGTGGTTCGTTGGTATAAGCCAATTAACTCGACTGCCCATCAAATTGCGAAAGCCTGGGGGGGAGGGGGGGGGGGGCTGCCGCACAGCTGGAATTATCCGAAATATTAAGGTCTGATGCCACGAGCTCATTTTTTCCGGCGAAAATTCAACAGAATCACACATTACATGTGCAACCATCCACATTTCGCAAACACTATTTCTCGCGAAGAATTTCGCCGTCGTAGAAAGTTAACAGGCCACAAATGGCAAAACGGCCTATGCAAGAGCATCGCACACTTTCGGCTTACGAATCGTTCACGAATAAGATTTTGCTGTGCAGATAGATCTAGTGTGTGCATATAGATCTATTCGGTAGAATATACGAATCCTTGATAGTTCGGCAGAATACTATATACCCATCGAAATTGTCGGAAGTCGTCCTAGATAGCTGGATGTCGTCTTAGACTTACAAGTGTGTTTATTTCAAAATTGTCCAGATTGGCAGCTAAGATTACGAGGGTATCCGACGTCCGACATCAACTACATGTCGTGTATAGACAATGCAAGCCATATGCGCGAACGCAGCTTAGACGTGTATGAGAAATACATTGTCATACAGACGTATACACAAAAACAAAGTGCCTGTTACGAGTATCTGTTCATTCTTCTACATTCTGCGGGCCGTCTCGGGTGAAACTATATAATATAACAGGAAAAATCAGATTTAAGAACTTATTTATTGACATTTCAGGTATGTATGCACCGTTATCCATTCTTGTTGACTTTGTTCAAAGCTTGTTTGTCAATGAAAAGATGATCTAAATTAACATTATTTTGGAACGATACTGTGCCTATTGCACCATCTAGTTGCATGAAACAAACAAAACTTTATATGATATTTCATTTAGTCATCATGAATGTTTGGCGCATTTCCGTTTCTGTGGAGAGAATTCTGCAACTTGTGCACAGTAGAAATTCATTACATTTAGTTATGCTGCAATCGCTATATGATTATGTTGTGGATTATGTGAACGTTTGCATGATATGTTATTGCCATCTGACCTGATATTCACTATATTTTTTTAATGCAGACTAATGAAATATACCTCGTATCCGGGGTCTTACCTCTGCACATATGAAACACACGTAATACCAGCCTCGTCCCCGGCGCTTTGATGTTGCGTGACGCGCGCGCGGGAGGGCACGCGTGGGGGGAAGGAAAAATTCGGAGCGAAGCTTCCGCGTCCCGTAGTGAGCAACGCACCTCGATTCCCGCGCGTGCGTCACGCAACCAGTAAGCACATCAAAGCGCCAGGGACGAGGCTGCACGTAATACTGTAAGGGCATGGTCGAAACGACCGTTGCTAGGACTTTGCCTCTGGTGTAGTTACATTTACCTGAATTTTTCCAGCTTCACGTTTTTACCCTGATTTTGCGACGCCTACGAGGCGCCACCATGGTTGGTGCCGAGGAAAACTTTTTGAAAATTTGAAGTCTCTAGACCGTCGGAAATGTCATTTTTAGACTTTTTCCTACTCAATATTTCAATATTGCCTAATGAAGATAAGTATTGTGACTTACAGTTCAATGTAAGTATGTGACAAGGAAAATTGAGAAAATGTTTGAAATATGAAGTCTCCAGATCGTCAGAAAGGGTATTTGACCATGCCCCCCTGCCACGGTGGGGGTAGGTATTTCGAGTTAAGCCCCTGTCACGCCCTTTTTCGCCGGGGGTTAAACTCGATGAACATAAGGTTATTTTTAGTACTTCGAGATAAGCCCCGATTTACCTGAATTTTTCCAGCTTAATATTTTTACCTGATTTTGCGATGGCTGCGAGGCGCCACCATGGTTGGTGCCGAGCAAAACTTTTTGAAAATTTGAAAAGTCTCTAGACCGTCGGAAATGTCATTTTTAGACTCTTTCCCACCCAACTATTTCAATATTCCAGTATTGCCTAATGAAGATAAGTATTGTTACTTACAGTTCAATGCGAGTATGTGACTAAGAAAATTGAAAAAATATTTGAAATATGGAGTCTCCAGATCGTCAGAAAGGGTATTTGACCATGTCCCCCTACCACGATGGGGGTGGGTGTAATTCTGGAGTTAAGAGCGACTGTCCGTAAAAATCGAGCAAACAGTGGCAATAGATGAAAAATAGATTTCTTTCATATTTTGCTTAAATTTAGGTAATACCTAGTTATAAATGGTGTTTGGGTTAGATATTCAATATTTGGTCGATAAACGTACAAATATCAGAAATCAAGAATTTGTCTCCGGAAGGCTATAATTAGCTGCAGACCTTTTTGTTGCCATGGTCAATTTCATCACTTCGCGACGGATTCAAAACTGCCCGTAGATATTTCTGATAGTTTAATGACTATAATTCAAGTATTAAAGAACATTCTTTTCAATATAGAATGGCCCAGGAGGCTTTAACTGGCCTGACAGACGTCGTTGAAATTGGCTATTTTTAGTCAAATTTTAGAATTGCATTTTGTGGCTGGATTTGAAGGGGAAATTTAGTATGTGCGATAATAGTGAATTTGTTTATATTTCATCCACGGAATGGTATAGCATGGGTACATGTTATATATAAAAACTAGCTTGGGTTATTGCCTTGGAGCCTCACACGGAACTTTTGAAAAAGCTCATTTTGGTGATTTCCAGTGGAATGTAACACAATTAAATCATTAGGTCTATACGTCTATACAAAGTCACGAAGCTCAAATTGTTCAAAACTTTGAATTTTGTGTTTCGATATCCAATGTATATGCTTTGTATACTTTATAAAGAAGCGTTTAGAAGGATTTTCAAGATATTTTAGTGATAGGCCTACTTACAACAAAAGCACAACAAATCATCATATTATATTACTAGACTGTAACGTTGCTATTTATAGCAATTTGCGTGTTGTTACTGAATGTATATTTAATATGTCTGTCTGTAAGCTTTTGAAGTCTTATAATTTCTCATATTTGTTTAATCATGTAAACTAATAGAATTAAAGCTAGGTAAATACAATAAAAGTACATGAGTTGGAACATGTATATGTTTACACTTTTAATACGCTAGACATTTTGCTGGACTCTCCTGTTACGAAACTAACAAACAAGTGACCCTCTTCTACATATGCTACAAATAAGAAAAAAAGTTATGTACATGAGCAAAATACAAACTGTCAAAAACTCAAAATGGAAGCGACAAGGAGCGACTTCGACGTTTTGCCTTTCCTGTGAAAATGCAAGCGGAATAATTAACGTGACAACCTAAAAACTAGAAATAATTATATAGTCTACATATGCAAAAAGTAGTTTATGCAAGAAAATAAACCAAAAGTGACTGTCGATAAATTTATTGTTTAAAACGTTCTTAATTAACCGAACCAACACTAAAACTTATGATCATAGATATCTTATATAAGATATCTATGCTTATGATACGCTATAGCGCTTATAACCTTTGGTACAACTGGTGTGAAACTTAAAATATCGATTCAATACATTTAATATCAATATATTTATTGCAAAATAGCTATTATGTCAAAATAAGAAAACTTAAGACTCTCACGCGAATTTGCCTATGGTGCAGACCCCAGCAGAAACACGCGAATATAGACAATGTTTTTTTAAGCGACCGTTAATAGTTAGTTGCAAGCGACCGTAATAATAACATTAAAGGGAGTCCCTTAAAGGACCCTACAGTCATTTTTTAGTCGAAAAGCCACCATAAGTAGGGGACTCCACGGAGATTCGTTTGGCTGTATCTTACATGCAGTATCCATGAATATGAGTACTTCCGCACACCGGAAGACGCATGCACCGGAAGACGCATGCATGCCGTGATGCGCATGTCAAGTAGTGACAATAACAAAAATGTAAACAATATTTACTTGACTAAAAAATGACTGTAGGGCCCCTTTAACAATGTCAAGGTGGGTCAAGGTTTTATCAAAAGCGATTGACTGTTAGATTTACTTTACAAATTAATAACTAAATAACGTTATTTCCTATAGATATAGCTTTATTGTAACTTTTTAATGGGTATAAAAAACGCGTGGAAACGGTGAATTACTACAATAGATTGAAAATTATTATTATTTATCATTTTGACGTTTGAGTGATTGAAATGAGTTAATTTATACTATATCGAATGTCATGTTGAATCTTATGCGTACTTCACAATGGTTGCTATTTCGTTGTATATTTCAATCTCGATTTCAATTGTATTACTATTTATAATTTAAATTGTGTTTGATATTTATATTTCATGTTGTTTACAAAATGTGCTGTAGTTTTGAAGCTTTGCACACGATATAATCAGTGCGAGCACAATGGCTCCATTTCAGTTTGAGTATATAAAAATCGAGTATTTTGATAGCGTTCGCGGCTTTGAGGCTTTCACGATATATAAATATAAACGCGTGATAGTTGATAAATAATCAGTGCGAGCACAACGGCTCCAAAATCACAACAAATAACAAAATATAAGGTAAGTTAAAACAGTAAAGCTTTACCTACCTCGATTTATTTTTCTAAGGCGCACGATTATGTAAATTTTCGGCGAATAATCAATATATAAATTTTCTTTGCGTTTCCTCGACGAAAACTCGGCATGAAAATGCTCGTCGGAAATTCGGTATTTGTCGTATTTTACGAATCTGCCACGTGACTGGTACGCTCACCGAACACGACACGAAATTTAGAGCTATATGAAAGTTGCATGCCATATATGGCATGCAACAAAAAGAAGAGAAGCTAAACAAGTAAAGAGTGGGGACCAATTATTTGTTATGACAAAACATAAATAATCCGAACTGTTCACTTGCAGGTGCACCCATTAAACATGCCAATTTTGACTAAATTCTATTAACAACCTCGGTTGTTGAACATCAGACTATCTTGACACGATCTCACGGTGACGTCACAACGTCAAAATATTTATAAAAAACGAGATAAATTGAATATGAATGAACTGTTACAGTCATTCTTCATCATTGAAGCTGTATTTTTGAGCAAAACAAAATCTCTACAGAAAATTAAACTAGAATCAATCAACCAAGATTACGTTCATTTCCACGCAGTGTGGGACATCATTTACAAAGGATCTTTTTTAAAAGTCTCGCGTGAGGCCCCACGGCAATAACCCAAGTCAGTTTTTATATACAACATGTATCCATGCTATAGCATTCCGTGGATGAAATATAAACGACAGTCACTTTTTGGTTTATTTTCTTGCATAAACTACTTGTCTACTTCTTGCATATGTAGACTATAATTATTTCTAGTTTTTAAGTTGTCACGTTCATTATTCCGCTTGCATTTTCATAGGAAAGGCTAAACATCGAAGTCGCTCCTTGTCGCTTCCATTTTGAGTTTTTGACAGTTTTTGACTGTTTGCTCATGTACATATATCTTTTTCTTATTTGTAGCATATGTAAAAGAGGGTCACCTGTTTGTTAGTTTCGTCAGGAGAGTCCAGCAAAATGTCTAGCGTAAAGTGTAAACATATACATGTTCCAACTCATGTACTTTTATTGTATTTACCTAGCTTTAATTCTATTAGTTTACATACTGTATGCAGAGAAAGCATTAAACAAATATGAGAAATTATAAGACTTCAAAAGCTTACAGACAGACATATTAAATATACATTCAGTAACAACACACAAATTGCTATAAATAGCAACGTTACAGTCTAGTAATATAGTATGATAATTTGTTGTGCTTTTGTTGTAAGTAGGCCTATCACTAAAATATCTTGAAAATCCTTCTAAACGCTTCTTTATAAAGTATACAAAGCATATACATTGGATATCGAAACACAAAATTCAAAGTTTTGAACAATTTGAGCTTCGTGACTTTTGTATAGACGTATAGACCTAATGATTTAATTGTGTTACATTCCACTGGAAATCACCAAAATGAGCTTTTTTAAAAGTCTTGTGCGAGGCTCCAAGGCAAATAACCCAAGCTAGTTTTTATATATAACATGTACTCATGCTATACCATTCCGTGGATGAAATATAAACAAATTCACGATTATCGCACATAGTAAATTTCCACTTCAAATCCAGCCACAAAATGCAATTCTAAAATTTGACTAAAAATAGCCAATTTCTACGACGTCTGTCAGGCCAGTTAAAGCCTCCTGAACCATTTTATATTGATAACAGTGTTCTTTACTACTTGAATTATAGTCATTAAACTATCAGAACTATCTGTAAATAAATAAAACTTTACACTGTGATAACTTGTAATATCAACTTTTAATATGAACAACTTTACAACTCTATCAGCGTGACCACATGTTCGCCATGTTGAGTTCCACTGCTCCACTCTCCTGCGCAGACTCAGTCACGTGCTGTTACATTAACATAAAGAATATTAACAAATTCCACTATTTTATTTAAGCAAACAATATACCAGTTTCTAAGGCGTTTCTTAGCACTTTGGGTGAGGCACCTTTCTTCGTTAGACTATCTGCAAGTTGCCTATTGGTACTGCACCAATTAACAGATGTAATCTGTTTTGCTTCAATTAACTCTTTTATGCTGCTAATATCTAACCTAAGACGTTTTTCTGACACACTCTTTACTGACTTCAAGGCTTCATAAAGTGAGTTACAGTCGGTGTAACATTCTATGGGAAACATGGTGGGGTAAGGTTTACCATACATTAATTCAGCAAGAAGAGTACATAAGAATATACTATTATCTATTCCCTCCGCCAAGGCGAGGGTTTCAGCAGCGAGAGTGCTCCTTACTACCCTACGGATTTTCTTAGAATTCCACCAAATAGGTGAGAATCTTCCCGATTCCCCAACAAGTAAAACCAAATATCCGCCCTGACTTCCACCATTTGGCATGTTACCCAACGAAGCATCACTAAATACAACAAGCTTTAACTTCTCTTTACTGCCCAAGTTTTGAAATTTGAGAGATGATTTTGTGACCTTGGCTTTACCAATAATTTTATTTATTTCCAGTACATGCTGCACAGTGCCTTTGTTTATGTTATTAGCCACACTGGTCACATCAAACAGTAAGTCAGGGCGACTTTGATGAGCCAGCCATAACAGTTGACCCACCTTGGATCTCACACTATGTTTTTCACATTCCGTCAACTCACTATCTTTTTCAAGAGCTCTAGAAGCAGTAATTTCAACAGGTTTAAGTAAATCTGTATAATCTATCTGATCAAGATATATCACACCATCTTCACCATATTCCAAGTCAATACCACAATATTTGAAGGCTTTATTGCTTTCTTTGCCAACACTTAAGGTAGATCTTATCCTACTTATGACATTTTCAAATTCGGGTTTACCCCCCCAAATAAAATCATCAACATGACATGCCAACATCCCATAAACATCACCATTTTCATCAAGCCAATAAAATACAGCAGGGTCAACTTTAGAAACACATGCTCCCAATTCTAGTAACAGAGATTTAACCCTACAATACCAATTTAAAGAAGCGTCACTTAAACCATATACACACTTATTAAGCTTCGAAACTGTATTCGAATTAACTTTGGCTTCAATGGGAGGTTTAATATAAACATCTTTGTCTATGGATTGCCCTTGGAGGAAGGCAGTTTTAATATCCATAGAATTAAGCTTCCATTTATTCTGGGCCAAAACTGAAATTATCAACCTAAGCAGGGACGCCGGAACTGGGGGGGCAGGAGGGGCAGCCGCCCCCGTTGCCCTTTACCAGGAGGGGCAAGGGGGGCAAAGGTGCCCTTTCAATTTAAAGAGTTGCTTTAGCGAAATAACGAATTGTCAGAAATGTTAGTGCAATTCTTTTACGAATTTGCTTCAGAAAACGCAAGAACTGCAGTCATCGAGCTTCAAGAATAGCACAATCGCCTGGCGGAGAACCCCCTCACACCCCTATCATCAATACATAGAAAACATGATTAGGCGAAGTTCAACTCCCGATGTTTTTCAAACATCTCTTAGTATATATCAATTCAAAAGTGCCCTTTCACGAAAATCTGCCCCCCTTGCTTTCACATCGTTCCCGCGTCCCTGAACCTAAGTGACTCATGTGCACAAGTGGGGGAGTCTTTTTAAATAGTTTGATCATATTCTTCAAAACTCCGAGCAACTAGCCTAGCTTTGGGAACAATAGAATCATTTATTGTCTTAAAGGTATACACCCACCTAGTTGAAACACATTTTTGACCTGTATAAGGCACTTCGTGATAGACCTCATTCTCTCCCCAACTTTCTAATTCTCTCATTTTTGCTTTGTTCACATCAATATCACTCACAAGCATGACTTCATCAACATCTTCAACATAATCATTTAACCAATCAGGTTTTTTAACTACTCTAGATGACTTTCTGCATCCCTCACTTTTATCTGTCTCAGACCCTGTCTCTGCAGATGTGTCACTATTCAACTTGCAAGAATCATTTGAAGTGTTTTCAACTTCATCAACTGAAGGTCTAGGTGAACTCACAGCTTCAGTATTACCACTAGAAACTACTTTATCATCACTACACACTTTTTGTAGCCTGCATCTGTGAACTCTCACTAGAGACCCACCATGTCTCACAAACACAACTGGCCCTTCTACTCCAATAACAACACCAGGCCCCTTCCATTTTGTTTCATCCGGTCTTTTATAATACACTTTGTTACCAGACTTATATACCTCATCAGTATTTCTGGTATTCTTACGCAATGCTCTCTTTATTCTCTCAGACCGTTCAGCCTTAACAAATGCTTCTCTGGCAGCATACATTGCATTAATGTGTGAAGCAACATTCTCAGAAGTTGTTTGCTCCTCAAGTGCAGGTAGCTTGTCACTAAAAGCAGAAGGCAAATTGGGATTTCTGCCAAAGACTATTTGGTATGGGCTAAACCCATTAACATTATTTAAGGCATTCTTGGCAGCAACTGCCCAACAGAGGGATATTTCCCAGTCATAGGCATGGCTTTCCCTAAGCTTAACTAATATTTCAGTTAATATCAAGTTATGTCTCTCACATGTACCATTACTCCATGGACTATATGCAGGAGTTGTTATAACTTCAGTGCCAAAATTTTCACACATATCTCTTACTAAATGATTGTTAAATTCACCCCCATTATCACTAACTAATCTTTTGGGAGCCCCATAAACAGAAACCCAATGCTTAATGAACATTTCAATAAATGTTTCAGGTTCTTTGTTGTATACTATGCATGCATTACTTAATCAACTAAATTCATCTATTATATGTAAATACCATATATTACTTCCCAATTGATGAAGGACAACAGCAACAGTCTCATTGAAGTCACTGGCTCGAGCTAAACCAACTACTGGTCTTGCAGGAGATTTCTTGAACTTCTGACATGTGTCGCATCCATCCACTACTTTCTGTAGGATAATAAATAATTGTTCATCCTTAATATCTGCTGATTTAAGTAAATGAATAAGTTTCATTGCACTCGCATGTCCAAATTGATAATGTAGTTTTAAGAGTTTCTTCCGTTTTTCAGCATCATTCATACCTTGAAACGTTGTCTTCGAATACATAACATCTTCAACTTCATCTTTGTTTTGATTTCCGATTATACTAACACAATAGTGACCAGATGAAGTCAGTTCTAGTTTTAGTTTTTCACCAAACAGGATCGCTTCATCATTAGGTATATCTAATTCTGCCCCAGCTCGTTTTAGCGACTCTTTGCTTAACAGTAAGGGCAGTTCAATCGGTACCACCTCCACTTTTATTTTGCAATTTGTTTTCCCAATTTTTGCTGCAATTGTAACTACTTTGTCAGAGTATATTAATGATCCATGACCAAACTTGAAAGGTCTATGACTTTTCTGAGTTGATAACACTTTACCACCCTTCTCAACAAAGTTCTGTAGCCATGACTTTCCACAGACAGTTTTTGTGCAAGCTGTATCAAGAATCGCAGTGCCACATGACTCCGCTATCAATATCTCACTTTGGGTCAACAATGTGATATTTACTGATTCCACGTCCTCTTCAGGAACCTCGTACCCAGGCTCTTTCCTCTACGCTCCTAGTTGGAGAAAATACCCTGGCTGGGGCTGGTCACGTGTACCCTAAATTCTGGGTGGCAAAAAGTATAATTGCTGTGGGAGGGGTAGTAGAGGAGTCTGTTTGTCGCGTTTGGAATTTGCAACTTTATGCTTTATAGTTTCTGGTGATAAACATGCACTTTACAACAAGAAATCGTGAAAGGAACTGTTCTAAATTCGTATTCATCATGACACGACTTCCTGCTGTACTGAATGTCATCAATAATAAGTGTTGTGGTACATTTCAAGCGAGAAGTTGGATCATATTTCACTTGCAAGGAAAGGACTATACACGCGCCTGGCTTGCGAAGTTGAGCACGCATCGCCGTAGAAACATAAATGTCTTCTACACCGACTGGTCGATCAAACGAACCATATGGTTGTTTATATTTGAAGTGTATCCTGTTCGATATTCAAAACAATCCTTTGATTTCCCAAACATCGCCAACTGTGTGTAAAAAATGCTATCCCGACTGTGAAAGCACTGGATTAAAACCCGTTATGGACGTAACATTCCCTGCATTTACATTGCTCAAACTCAACGATGAAAAATGATTATATCGAAGTATAATACTAAAGCTATCTGTTATCACACGAACGCCAAATATACTCGTCCGTGTGTGGGGTACAACTTGGATATTTTAGGACGAAACATGCGACCAGACACTGGTATTGTACTTTATAGTAAATTATTTCATATTTCATGTATTAGAGTATAAATTTACAGCAGGTACATTAAAAATCGTTTAAAGACCTTTCATTGGCATTGCCATTGGCCTTTATTTGAAGAATAATCCCGCTTAAAATGCAGCTTCTTGCGACTTGTATCATGACCGCTGTGGGTCATCAAGACAATATTTATATCAACCTTTATTCATGCAGTAAACTTTATCGTATACTGTGATGGACCTTCTAGAGGTTTCACCAAACGATACTGGAGACAAATAACCTATCTATATCAATGGAAGCTCTAAATATTTTATTATATTCATTAAAGAATTCTATGAGCGAGATGTCGTGCGCACATAATTTACTGTTTATGAATTTAATAATAATATGTATCCCTGATTAAACGTAGGGACACTTTATACCAGGTATAATAAAAAATATTTTGCTAAAACTTATCAGCTATCATTCCTTTGCATTCAAGGGGCGAGGGTAAATGGCTATAGAATTATATAGGAGATGCTGTGCAATATTTTGGCTTCAGCATACAGTTATTCGTGCAGACAAAAAAGGAAAAGCATACAGTTGTGAATTGTCTTATAATTCTGTACTGTTGATCCCAAACAATTTTGTACGTTAAGAGTAACACTCCTTCCTACCTGGTGGCTGGTGTTTTATATAAACGATGATAACCTATTTTTTAAAGAAAATCTAGAGCACTATGACTATGTTTACAAACGCTTTTATAATCTATTGTAGTATTGAATAGACATTCGATGTCTATTTAGCTAGTGTCCAAATGTGTAACGTTTAAACCACCAAGGCGAAGCGCCTACACAGTCGCTAGACGCTAGTGAGACCTCTATTTAACAAATTTATACCGTTCCGTATAACAACAATTCAATGGCATATTATAAGAATATTTTACAGTAAATATCTGAACCCGAGGCAGAACAGAAACGTACGCGTGAAATGAAACTGCGCCCGAACCCCGAGAGAATAAAAGGGCGGATATTTCAAAGCATACGATCTCATACGTTTTCGTTGCTTGATTTCCTGACTTGTCCGTTCTATAAGAATATACAGTTTAGCAGGTTTGTATAATTTAAAAGCAAACAAAACCAATTTTTAGCAAGTATTTTGAAGTATATATGATATATATGATTCTGAAAGATAATTGTTCAGGCGGCCACTCCTCGCAATCGAAGTGTGAAGTGCGCAAGTGGAAACATGTAATATGAGACTTTCCCATCCCCCTAATAGGCTATTAATTTTCTATGGGTCACGTGACCAGCACCAGCCAGGGTATTTTCTCCAGCTAGGAGCGTAGAGGAAAGAGCCTGGGTACGAGGTTGCCTCTTCAGATGGTGGTACATCCTCTGATAAATGAACTCTCTCACTTTTGTCAGGGCAGTTTGTAGCATAGTGAAAAATTGACTGACAAATTCTACATCTAGTTGGTTGACCAAATCGGTTTAACGGATTTGTTTTACGATTAGATCTATCTTTTATCAGAGATGTTCTAACTTGGGTTCTATTGCTTGCTGAATACATTGCTTCTTGTTTCATCGAGATTGCTTCATCTCCTGTCACACCGCTGGCACTGTCTGACAATGCACCACCAAAAATTCTTTTTAGTGTAGACTTCATGCTTTCATATTTCAGGTCAGAACAAGCAGTTAGTGGTAATTGTCGTTGATTTTCTGTCAAGCCTACCCCGTCCAATAGTTTAAAGGCAAGAACAGCTTCTGGTAAAGCCATCTCTCTCTTTTTGATCTTGGTGTAAAGTGAATCAAAGTCCACAATGTATTCTGCCATACTTGTACTAGGTTTTTTTCTAACAGTATCAAAAATTTTATACGCCTCGTAATCACTTTCCGTAGTGGCCTTGAGAAATAACGTATCAAGCTTTCTTAACAAATGACCAAGTCCGTCTTCGCCGCCGAGATCGTCTCCTAATTCTAATCCAACTTATTTTGCTTTGCCATCAAGCGTTAAACAAACCGCAGTGCCTTGCTTTGCCTTGGCCAAACCTGTAACCTTCCTCCACAGCTCGATTTCTTGCTTCCATGTTCTATAGTCATTATGATACTTCGGTGGATGTATAAACTTACTATCCATATCTTTTACTTTTTAACAACCACTCTCTGCTACCAATGTAAATAAATCAAACTTTACACTGTGATAACTTGTAATATCAACTTTTAATATGAACAACTTTACAACTCTATCAGCGTGACCGCATGTTCGCCATGTTGAGTTCCACTGCTCCACTCTCCTGCGCAGACTCAGTCACGTGCTGTTCACATTAACATAAAGAATATTAACACTATCTACGGGCAGTTTTGAATCCGTCGCGAAGTAATGAAATTGACCATGGCAACGGCGTTGTCTGCGGCTAATTATAGCCTTCCGGAGACAAATTCTTGATTTCTGATATTTGTACGTTTATCGACCAAATATTGAAAATCTAACCCAAACACCATTTATAACTAGGTATTACCTAAATTTAAGCAAAATATTAAAGAAATCTATTTTTCGTGTATTGCCGCAGAATTCAAATTTTGCTCGATTTTTACGGACAGTTGCTCTTAAGCCCTTTGAGTTAAGAGTTGTTCTTTACAAATCCTGATTTAGTTCTCTCATTTCACGATGTCACTGTCTCCGTCTTAGTAAAATATATTTCTTAAAATTGCTGAAATTTTACATTATCCCTCGTTGTTTGCCAGTATTTTTGCGAGTATACATGCCTCACTTGTTTACATCCACCAAATGTCGAGGCTTAACTCGAATGCTAAAATCGTTAACCCGGGGTTTAACTCGAAGTACTAAAACAACCTTATGTTCATCGAGTTAAGACCCCGGCAAAAAAGGCGTAGCAGGAGCTTAACTCGAAAAGGGCTTAACTCGAAGGGCTTAACTCGAAAAATACCTAGCCTGCCACGATGCGTCTCAACGTCTTTAGTCGGACGATTGTTAACTCTAATTCTGACCCAGAGCATAGAGCTCACTTTTTTATGCTCTGAGAATTACCTGAATTTTCCTGAAAATCTACCTGAAATTGCTCATGAGCAATTACAGGGGAGTTGGGGTGTTGCACCCTCACACCCCCGCTCGCTACGGGCCTGCAAACGACAGAGTGCGGAGTCGGAGGTTTATGGGGGCATAAAGTGGAAAACGCGGAGTCTCGTTAAAATCGAATCTTTGGGCAAACTAAATAATTTCTTACGAAAGCATTAGACTAGTTCTATATCTGACCAAGTTTGAACGAAAAAGTTGAAAACTCGCAGAGTTATTTAACAAAATACATTTCCCTGCAATAAGAAAAACATTGAAAATGTAATATTGAAATACAATTTTCTCCCGAAGAATTTTACGGCAATTATTGATTTTCAAACGAGTTGTTCTCCTGCGGGTTTTAACGAATTTTTCTCAAATTTCCACAGTACATAGCTAAAGACGTCAGTTTCAAAATTGTGTTCGGCTTTTTGTAATTTTGGATATTTTAATAATAAGAAGCAATTCACTCAAACGATTCAGAAATATATCGCAGTAGTCAAAGAAGTCGCTATATCAGCGAAATAAACAGAAATTTCCGAACACAGTTGCTTAGAACAACTATTTTACTGCATAAAAATGATATTTTCATAAATATATCTTAAGATCATCAGGAAAACAACTCAAAAGCGTGAAGGTACCGCAATTTAAGATTTTCCTGAATAATTCTTACAATATTGTTTGTCAATTTTACAACTTTACAGTATTTTGCATGCACTGGCAAACATTTGGTGAAAACCTTGATGAAAATCTTGATGAAAATCGGACTGATATTGAGTGCGCAGTAGCGATTTTCTGCAAAACGCCCAAAAGGGTGTCCTGTAACCTTAACGCACTGGTTCACTGTAAAAATAGCAGACAAGAAAATTTTGGTTACTGGTCTTAAGCTTCAGAATCCTAACCATGGTAACATTACGGCAACAGAATCTTAGAGTCTTACTCTTATTTAGAAAAATACAGCAAATTCACAATAACCTAACTTCCTTTATTTCTAGACTTTCCCATGATGATTGTGGAGGTTGCAACAACGTTCTGTCTTGTTTGGTTTGTTTGGTATCTTGTGACAACGTACTTTGAAAGAAGATTAATGCCACCCGGACCGTTTCCCTACCCATTAATTGGAAATCTGCAACATTTAAATTCCAATTCGAGTAAACCATTTAGAAAACTCAGAGAGACATATGGCGACATATTCTCAGTTACTTTAGGGGGAACATCTGTTATTGTGAATACTGCCTCACTTGCTCGAGAAGTTAGGCTTGGCCGAAATAAAGATTATGCGGTTAATGTATTATCTGAAAGCGTTTATCCATTTAATATTATATTAGGCCCAAATGATGTCATATTCGCGAGTTATGGAACACCATACTTGTTTCGTAAGAGAGTATTTAAGTCAGCAATGCATGTTTTTGGAGCAGGTATCAATGACGCAGAAGAGAGAGGAGGACACGCAGTAAAATCTATGTTGGAGAAGATTGATTCTATGAAAGGTCAGCCGTTTTCTCCGAAGGAACTAATCGAGTCAGCAATACTGATTCAACTGTGGCAATGGCTTACATCCGAGAAAGTATCATTTGAGCACACGAATATAAAGCTCCTTCTTGAATTTAGTGAAATAATCGCAAAACAAAACGTGGAAGGTACTTACTTCCACAAGTTACCGTTCCATTCCTATCTTCCAACTGAATTCAATCGAAGCATAAAGCGAGCTACAGATATAAAATCCTCCATAATGCCGCAGACTTTCCAATCCCACCTAGAGACTTACACCCCAGGCGTTATTCGTGACATGATTGACAGTTTTATCAGTGCTTATAAGAAGGAGACGGCAAAAGAGACGAGCAAAGATATTGGATCTATTGACGATATTCGAGATATGATGATTGATGTTACTTTTGCTGGTTCAGATACAACTTCTTCCACACTGGCGTGGTTTATATTGTACATGGTCTCATATCCTGAGGTTCAGAAGAAAATCCACGACGAACTTGATCAAGTCATAGGTAAAGACGACTTACCTCGCTGGCAAGATGTCAAGAACATGCCCTACCTGCAAGCCACGATATGTGAAGTTATGCGTAAGTCTAGTCCAGTACCAATAACCGGTTCAAACACAATACGTGCTATAACCGTAGCTGGGTACCGTATTCCTAAAGGAACGTCGGTAGTCCTCAATTTAACCCAAATTCATCAGGACGAGCAGGAGTGGCCGGAGCCTGAGGAATTTAAACCTGAGCGCTTCCGTGACGTCGAAGGGAAGTTTGTTGGTTGGACCAAACTTGATGCTTTTCTGCCATTCGGACTTGGTCGTAGAGAATGCGCTGGTATTGCGTTCGCAAAAATTATGTTGTTTACTTTTGCAGCGACGTTATTACATCGTCTTAGGTTTGAATTACCAGAAGGAGCCGAAAAGCCGAATGAGGAACCGTCTTCTATTACATTTGTGTCTTCTCCAGGAGATTTCAAGGTTGTAGCGAGAAACCGACGTTAAAAACACATCTGGACTTTGGATTAAAGGATCACAAAATAGAATATGCAATGCAGTAAAATATATTGTATTTACTAGAAGCTAACTTTAACTTCAGATGAACTATGAGGTACATGAGGACATAATTATGTATAGGAACTAAGTTCGCTTGTAGTTTAAGTGGATAGTTTAAATTTGTGTACTGATTTGTGCATTGAAGGATTTGGCCAGATATCATACTAGGAGAAATAATCAAAGTTCTGCTTAACAACATTGCTGGAGCCTCGTGCTCAGGGTGATTCAAATGAAACTTTTAAAATTATGGCCAAAACATGTTCTGTAAGTCAAGATCATCGTATTGCACGTGCCATATAGAGCTTAAAGAGGCAAATAACACCATTGATTTCAACACTAAATTAGAACATCATAAAATGTACAGTATATAAAGTATCGACAATGGTTACTGCATGGGAACTATCGTAAGAAATTCTTAGGAGACTGGCATTGGGATTTAGTATGGGATAGTATGTTACTGAACAATTTATTATACATGTATGTATTTTTAAATATTCTTGAGATGCCTAGAGACTGAAGCATAATTTATTAAAGTTAAAGTTCTTTACAGTCTGCGAACCAGGGCGCTTATATAAGCGACCTGCTGCGAACGTCTTCTGAACAATGTAATAGATTTAAAGGCCGTTTTCCACTAGGCGGAATTTTCCGCGCGGAGCGGAATTTCTCTTTGTCTTTTCTAATTAGTTCCACCTGAGAAATCACAGGACAAAGAAAAATAGGTACGCAGTGCGTACATGTTGCATGCCATCTGAAACCCTTGACGCGCTATAGCCTATAGCGCTTATAACCTTTGGTACAACTGGCGTGAAACTTCAAATATTGATTCAATAAGTTTAATATCAAAATATTTATTGAAAAATAGCTATTATGTCAAAATAAGAAAACTTATTAAGATTCTCACGCGAATTAGCCTACGGTGTAGACCCCAGCAGAAACACGCGAATAGGCAATGTTTTTATAAGCGACCGATATATTAGTAGTTAGTTGCAAGCGACGGTAATAATAACATTAACAAGGTCAAGGTGGGTCAACGTTTTATCGAAAGCGATTGACTGTTAGATTTGCTTCACAAATTTATAATTAAATAACGTTATTTCCTTTAGATTTAGCTTTATTGTAACTTTTTAAAGGTACAAAAAAAACGTGGAAACGGTGAATTACTATAATAGATTGAAAATGATTATTATTTATCATTTTGACGTTTGAGTGATTAAAATGAGTTAATTTACACTATGTCGAATGTCATGTTGAATGTCATGTTGAATCTTATGCGTACTTCACAATGGTTGCTATTTCGTTGTATTAAATTTCAACAGTATTACTATTTATAATCAAATTTTGTTTGATATTTATATTTCATGTTATTTACAAAATGTGCTGTAGTTTTGAAGCTTTGCACACAATATAATCAGTGCGAGCACAATGGCTCCGTTCCAGTTTGAGTATATAAAAATCGAGTATTTTGATAGCGTTGGGCTTCGAGGCTTTCACGATATATCACGCCTCCTAAATATGATAGCGTTGGGGCTTTGAGGCTTTCACGCCTCCTAAATATAAACGCCTGATAATTGATAAATAATCAGAGCGAGCACAACGGCTGCAAAATCACAACAAATAACAAAATATAAGGCAAGTTAAAAACAGTAAAGCTTTACCTACCTCGATTTCCTTTTCTAAGGCGCTCAATTATGTAAATTTACGGCGAATAATCAGTATTTCTTTGCGTTTCTTTCGACGAAAACCCGGCATGAAAATGCTCGTCCGAAAAACTCGGTATTTGTCGTACAGTCGTACTTTACGAATCTACCACGTGATTTACGACCGGTACGCACAGTGCCGGAACACGACGACATGAAATTTAGAGCTATATGAAAGTTGCATGCCATATATGGCATGCAACAAAAATTCCGCTCCGCGCCGAAAATTCCACCTAGTGGAAACCCGGCTTAATAAAGATTCGCAAGAGCATGCAGTTAATCAAATAGGCAGACTAATAAAGTTGAGAAGAAAAACGAATGCATTCCTACAATGTTTAACGCAATCTTATAAAGGAGAAAACAATGTTTGCTCCTTTTAGCTGAGTAGTGATACCCACTGAGCTATACTATATTACTGGAGGACCTGCTCGGGATAAAAAAAGTGTCCGCAAAAACATGGCGGATCTGACGCCATTGCCATGACTACTGGTCCCTAGATTCATGGCAACTACCACTGTCCAAACCGCGATCCTAAGCTTTCGACAATGTACTTCACCCCCTGGTTTTAGCCCAAAAATTTTGTTTTTGAGGTAAAATTCTCATTGAAAATCTTGATATTTTATCCCAGTTTGCTTGATTTACAACGAACACTGCCTTTTTGCGACGCTCGTACGTATGAGAACTCTTCAAACAAGAACTAGGAGAATATTTTTATTCACCGGTAAGATTTTTATATTTGAATATTTCTAGATTCTAGCTTGCTTGATTAAACTCGATATAGAAATACAAATTCCGGCCGTAGGAAAAATGGTTGGGAATTCTGTAATTTTTTCTCGTGATTTACCACTAGCCTCTGTGTTTTCATATGATTTTAAAGGCTGGTTATGGTGTCAAAATCCTTACTGTGCACTTATATTGATTTAGTAGCACAGACTTCAGTATTATAGAGATATAAGCAAATTTTCAATGACAAACTTTGAGTGATATATATCCTTGCCACTGAGGTTCTTGTAGCAGTTACTTATAATTTCATACTGTATAGTTATATTAAATGTCACTTCTACAACAGGCAAACTGAAAAATTGCTTTGCTAGGCCAAAGATATCAAGTTCAAACCATTCAAATGATTCAATACCCATTGCAATCAAGCAATAACCATAAACCTCGGAACATATAAGCCCCAATAACAGACCCCAAATATAAGCCCTCCTGTGTAGAACGGCCACCATAAGAAATTCTGAATATAAGCCCTCTCCAGAATTTAAGTCCCTCTGTGTTAGCCCATGGACTTTTTAATGCAGCAAAGGCCAAAGGGGTCCATTCCAACAGCTCAACCCATCAAAAATGAAAATGAATGCATACAAGCATTCAGAGGTTTACATGGTATTCATCTGACCAACATATTTTGTCAGAGTTCTATAAATCCCACAGCCATTAGAGTTGTAGTTAAGTATTTGTAGGTATGAAGGGTGTGTACGTGCCAGCCAATGCATATTCACTGCCCTTGGCATTGACCAAAATTGTGCCCTCATTGACAATTAACCAATCAAATTGATGATTGATAACATGTTTGAGAGCATCTTCAGTGGGAGTGTTCCCAGTATTGGAGCACGGGCAATAGGACAGGTGTAGTGTTGTTAAATGGAAAGTTAGAAATGGTATTATACTTACTCATGCATGATAATTATGTTTAAAAGATCAGAATATTCATAACTTCTTATTTTGTTTCATAAATAGTTCTTTAATATTCGAAACAAATTCCATATCTGCTTCGTCTGCCATCGCCATGTTTACTCGTCCCAATCTACATGCTGCACGGCATTGCCGCCCCTCCTGGCAAAATAATAAGCAAGCGAGAAAAATTAACAGAAAATAAGAGGGTAGGAACATCGTTGTCATAAGCTGGATGCAGTGACACTTCCATATATGGCACAAACGTATCCATAACTTCCATATATGGCACAAACGTATCCTCGACGCGTTTTATAACGTTTTATTTGACGTAGGGATGACGTAATGCTGCTTCCAGCCTATGACGATTTGAATTAGTCATGTGATACAAGATTGCGAAAGCCGATTCGCCCAGAACGATGACACGCCCACGAAACGCCCACAATGTTCCTACCCTCTTATTTTCTCCTTAATTTTTCTCGCTTGCTTATTATTTTGCCAGGAGGGGCGGCAATGCCGTGCAGCATGTAGATTGGGACGAGTAAACATGGCGATGGCAGACGAAGCAGATGTGGAATTTGTTTCGAATATTAAAGAACTATTTATGAAACAAAATAAGAAGTTATGAATATTCTGATCTTTTAAACATAATTATAATGCATGAGTAAGTATAATACCATTTCTAACTTTCTATTTAACAACACTACACACCTGTCCTATTGCCCGTGA